GAGGTGCGCCACGCCCAAATCGAAAACACCTCGTCCGCTCGTTCGCGACGATCGTCTCGTCCTGCATTCAGTACACCGACTCAGCATTTCAGGCCGTTGTTGGCATCCTCAACAACCCTATGAGCAGTGTCGTTGACCAGGTTTGGCCAGGAGAATATAGTAGAAGTAAGCAGATCTCAGCCATGATTAGAAACAGTCTGTAAACTTCCGAGAAAGTCCGCCTTGACAGCTACTAGGCATTGGGTAGAGACCCAGAAACCTGGCACTGCACACACCACACTTGCGGCAGAGACAACAGCAACAAAGCCAGCTCAGAAGAGTCCTGCGGCTGAAAGCCTGCACCCAGCGCAAGCAAAAAACGGCATGCAGAAGTTCCTGATCCGACAGACGGTTGGTCGTGACTTGCCGGCGTTCTCTGGCGACTCGGAGGAGTGACCCATATTCACTTCACCTATATACATATTCACCTTGCGCATACGCAACGTCGGATGAGTGCATCGACACGACCGAAGTGAAGAAAGAGTTCGTTGCGGCAACAATATCCCCGCCAAGGCCCCAGCAATTTGCCGAATCGCTGCCTGACGTCAACAGTTTCTCGTCATGGAAACGTCTCATCTGCACAACCGCGTATGTTGCCAGGTTCATCGCAAACACGCGGGCCAGAGTTTGCAGACAAACTGTCAAATCAATCGCAGCCATCTCAGCCAAGGAAATGGATGCGGCCGAGCAGCCCTGGATGAAATCTGTGCAGGCAGAGTGTTTTGCCATAGAAGTGGCATTGTTGAGCGATGGCCAGCCCGTCAGCACCAGCAGTCGTCTACGACAGCTAGCACCAACCATTGATGAGGACGGGATCCTGCAGGTTTAGGGTCGCCTCACACATGACGTACAGTGCAAAAAACCCGGCTATCCTGTGTCCGAAGCATAGGTACACACAGCTCCTAGTCCATGAATACCACCTGCGTTCTGGCCATCATGGACACGAGAGGACATTGAATGAGCTTCGCCAGCAGTACTGGGTGACGACGGGTCGAGCAGCTGTGAAGCTAGCATGGTCTGAGTGTCAATACTGCAAGAACCAACGAGCCAATCCCTAGCCACCTGTAATGGGAAATCTACCTGTCCAGCGCTTGACCCCGTTCCTGCCACCATTCGCATTCACCGGGCTGTACTATTTCAGACTGTTGCACATCAAGATCGGGAGGCGCCGCGAACTATGCTACGGTGCGTTGTTCACATGTCTGAGTACTCGCGCTGTACATTTGGAAGTGGCTCACTCTCTGAACACTGATAGTGCCATCATGGCAATCAGGCGAATGTGCGCCCGGCGAGGTTGCCCCCAAGAGATCCACTCAGATAATGGAACCAATTTCCGAGGAGCTGACAGGGAGCTGAAGGCAGGATTGGAAGATTTCCGCCAAGACCGACTAGCTTCTGAGTGTTCCAGTAGGGACATCTCATGGCACTTCAACCCGCCACTTGCTCCCCACATGGGTGGAAGCTGGGAGCGCCTCGTCAGAGCAGTGAAGATCGCTATGAAATCCGTCATGAAGGAGCGTGTCGTGACAGAAGAAGTCCTAGCCACGGTCTTCAAGCAACTCGTGAATAGTCGGCCGCTGACTCACGTCTCAATAGATCCTGATTGTAGTGGTTCTACAAACGCACCAAAGACATCTTGTAACTAGCTTCGTTACTACAAATCACAAGTGTGTGGGAATACAGAGAACGACAGAGAGATCAAAGGAAAAGCCAGGCAGGCAAGTACAGCTAAAGTGCGTACGGTACAACTGGCATGTCGCACAGCGCGGCCGGATGAATGCATACATGTTACATAAAAGGATACAATGACAAACAGTGGGATGTGCATCCACTACACTGATGATCACGAGTCCCTCACACCCAACCACTTCCTCATTGGGTCCAGTAGTTCGACTAGTCGGCCAGGCGTGTTTTAGATGCTGATCTGCGCCTGAGGAAGCACTGGCGGATTGCACAGAAGATCACCGACGAATTCTGGAAGAGGTGGATCTTGGAATACCGGCCAGAACTCACCAGGCGGAGGAAATTGCAGGACGGGACACCGTCACTGGCTGTAGGTGATGCCGTGGTGGTCGTCGACAGCAACCAGCCACGAGGGCAGTGGCCTCGGGGCCGACTGGAGGCTGTACACCCGGGCAGTGATGGCGTTGTGCGAGTAGCAGATGTCCCCACCAAGTCTGGACTGTACTGACGCCCAGTCGTCAAGCTTGCCAAGCTGGGCGTGCTGCGCTGAGTTTGTTTGTGACTTGTAATAGGTCATCGGTACCCTGTTACCAGGGGGGAGAATGTTACAGACACTTGCACATGAATTCACAATTATTGTATTTGCTGGTTCGAATATATTTGTATTTTGTTTCTCTCACCTTTCACTATTCCCGAGTTGATCACATACCTGCGTGCTCCACTCTGCTGCAGTTAGAGGCAGCTACTCTACATGCAGTCGAGTCGATTCTATTGTGTATCTGCATGTCTCCTTGACAATATCTGTCCAGCTCTAAATAATTAGAATTATATTCCTTCTCTCTTCTCTCTTTCTTCTTCCCTTCGATTTTTTTCGCTTCTCTCAGGTATTTTTGTTTTGGTTGTACTTTGTACACTATTGCTCTATCTGATGATGCGATGCAGTTTATGGATGTCGTCACTCCTTGGGGCGCAGTGCACTGGATGCGCAGTGACCGCCAGAGCTAGGCATCTTTTTTGGCTGCATGTTTCCTTTTGCGCTGCCAGCGTTTCTGCTTGAAGCTACTTGTACACGTGTCGCTCTTTGCTTTTCAGAACTCTTTGAGATTCAGTATTATTCCACTTTGTAAAGAACAAGAACAAGTAATGGTTCGAAGGAAATCTTGTCTACCATGGCCAGAGGGCCGCAACAGACAGTGTTATGTAGTAGGAAGGTTTCCGTCCTGAGATTTTTTGAATTTGTTTGCTTGACGTTCGAATCGAAGCGCACATTAATTTTTAATAAGTAGGACCAAGTATCTACTTTTTATACCCACTCCCATCCGGGGCAATGATCAGGTACAACCACTGGGGTACAATCATGATGTCATACCCCCTTCACAACCTTTCTATTACCCGAAAAATCATTTCTTACGTAAAAACCTGGCGTCAGGTTTTACTCCAAAAATGGGGTACTATCAATAGTACCCCATTTTTTAGGACTAGACCATGTACCTCACCCAGAACCGGCCCGACACATCCTACTCACTTGTACTTGTACTTGTTGCTCACTGCCAAACATGGGTCTCCCCGGGAGAGGGGAGAGAGACTCAAAAGGAATCTTGGAAAGATGACTCAATTGGCTATTGAACCGCCCAACGGCCGACACCCCCTGAAATCCCCAAAAACTGTGGGTGAACTTGAAATTGATGCCACTTATGGGCTCACCACACCTCAGTAAGTGGGTGAGGATAAGGTGCAGAAAAAGTGTTGACCACATCAGGGTATCCGTCCAGGGATTCAGCTGCAGTTACCCCTGCCCCCAGTGAAGGTAGTACTTGCTTCTGGTGTGGGTGGCTAAATCAGAGTGGATCTGATATAAGCTTCATTAGCACCATTGATTACACAAGAGTTAATCTAGCCGTTCAGAGCAGACACTTTCTTCATTAGAGAGGTTTCGTTTCACGTTGTTCTGCACTACACCGTGAAATTTCACGTCGGTGTGGCAATTATGGACTTGATTTTGTCGATTTTGCCTAAACTAGCTATAAATAATATTTGTTTGACTTTGGCCTCACCAGAAAATCACTTTTTTCATTTTTTGAAGTTTTCGCTCCCAGTTTTCGCTCCTGTCGTCAGCGAAACGACGTGCTTCACAAGCAACGTGAAGCGAAAGCTCTTTCTGAGCTCGCATCAACGCAAAAAATTGACGTTCATTTAACCCTTTGCCGGTCTAACTCAATGTATGTGAGGGGTGGTCACGCAAATACATGTACACACAACCTGCAATAACTCAAGAACCATGTGATGTAGGTATGGGTAAACCATATATTTTCTAAATCTGTGTGCCTGAACGCGTCCAGAAAATTCAAATATGACTAGGTCCAGGCAAGGATAGGGCCCATGGTAGCCCTTCAAGTTGAGAGAAAATACAATTGCGAATGAAATACACGAATATCACAGCACGAAGGGCATACCAAGTTCGTGATGGAGCTGAAGTCGTACGATAAACAATCAGGTAAGGGCTACGTCTTTACAAGAAATGTAGGCTCTCTACAATACCGCCATTGAACACCAACACCTCGCCATCGGCGATACGCCAGCAGCAGCAATTCCCTTTGCACGATATCGCAGTTTCGGTTTGTTCATCTCAGCGCTGCTCGCGTCAGATTCACTCTCGCTCAGATGAGTACTCAGGCGCGAGCTTACGCATGCCGTGATTCTCACGGCCAGGCGAATCAGCTGATCGCACCTGACGAGTCCTTGTGACAGTCGCTGTCGCCGTGTCGGCAGCAAGAAGGCTTCCTCTCTGTTTGGAGAATTTTGTTTCTTCATTCGTCGACGATATATTTTTGAACTAGCAGGACTCAACGGAGCTCTTTTTCTCAACACACTACACTGCAAAACCTCCCGGGACATCCAGCCTGGACTGGTGATGTTACTGCTCTCAGAGCGCTTGTCAAACACGGCCCAAAGAGATGCACTCGCATTCTTGAAATGCGCGCATGGCGGATGGTCGTCTTTTCCAATTTCAACAAACTTCAGTCGATCGATACGGCAAAAATTTGTATGGTAAGCATGGTTGTTTTGCACATCGTCAGAAAGCCTTGGACCTCAGCTACGCGTAGAGCGCCATTTTAGCTGTCTCCTAGCAACAAGACCCCAAAAAAATGAGGGCCAAACGTACCGATACTATAGTATCGGTACGCTTATGGTAGACCGGTAAAGGGTTAAGAGCACAAATCACGCGGGTCGAAACCTCTCTATTCTTATACTACAGGCAATAATTATTATGAACTCACCGTTGGAAATGCAAGTCCGGATTGCTGTGAGGAAATTCTGGTCTTTCCGGTGTGACCTCATAATGACTGCCAGCACAAGCTGGAAGTCCTTACTGCAATTATTTAGCTGGTCGTATTCCTGCTGCGAGATATGGGGCTGAGCAGCAGCAGCTACGTCAGTGCGCCTCGAAAACTCCAGCTCATTGTCATAGCTCTGTGGCAGAACTTCAACATCATCCTCATCCTCATTATCCTCATTGTCCTCTGACAGCACTCCATCATCCTCTGTCAACTCGTCTAAGGCCACAGTGGAGCTGCTAGAGTTGCCTAAAAGTCAAACAACAAGAAGTTCATAACGTCACTTCATGTCAAGATCATAGACAAGGTAATTGTAACTCGTGCAAGAAGGCAAAGGTGGACTCGCAGGAGTGTTCAGAAAAGACTAGGGCTTGATAATTGAAAGTGCTACATCATAGAAAGCCAGGATCCAAAACATAGAGGTGACGTTGTATTTACTTGCCGGGTCCATTTTTTTTTGGCATGTGGCCATACACGTTTTAAGTGGTTTTCCAGCACAGCATAGTGCCACATCCATTGGTAATGACTGCACTGGGCCCTCCATGTCACTTCTTGTACGGAAAAAAGTTTACGCCTACACGCGACACAAGGCGTTTGTTTTGTTTGTTTGTATAAAAGCTATATTTTACTTTCCCATGGGTCCATCTACTAAATCAGATTCTTTCCCGTAGGTGGAGTGGATCCAATTTTTGTTGCTAGATTTTGACTGCTAACGACTTCTGACGTCATCGATTTCAAGCCCCACTGAACTTGATACGAGCACAGACAGCGGAAGGCTGTCAAAACACAGTTTCTTTGCCTAGTGCAGCTGTGGTACAACTTTGGGACCCATTTACTTGGCTCTGAAGCTGGTTTACAACTCCGTGAAGACTTCCACTTTACCTCAACGTTTTCCTTGGCGAAAACCTTTCCAGGAAGTCAAGATAATGACATATGAGCCGAGCCAAGCAAAAAGGTGGCTTAGGCATAATTTTTGGAAATTTATTTTTCATGCGAAAGTGATGTCTACCTATCCAGCTTCCATCAAGGAAATTTTGGTGCCCATCTGAAATGTATATGTGCCATAAACAAGCAAACATTGCGCACATGTCCCAGCATGCCTGGTATCAATGAAACTAAGATAATAATCATTATGAAGACCTGCCCCCCCCCCCCCTCCAGAAAACATGGGACACCAAGTGGAGACAAAGCTTAGCAGGTGTGGAAGCAATACAAGAAGAACGAGCACTTGAGTTGTGATTAGAAGATCCAAGAAAGAAGTAATAATTGATCTATGCATCTCATGTCATTTCATCACGCAACACGAATTTTCATATCCTTCAATGATTTTGTGAGTCTGTGACTATATTTTCGTGGGCTGGGAAATGTCGCATCTTACCAAGACAGCCCGTCATCCTCTCTCCAATCACCTACGCCATGATGAATTAATCCTTTCCTGTAGCTCGTAGTGTTGTGCCAGAGATCGAGCTCCATTGGTCTCTTGCACGTAGGTCCAGCAGATTGCACATCGCTAAAAAGTGGCACTGATTCTTTGTCCGTCCTAGTCCATGTCATTCTCCTTCCCTGGTGTAGGTAGTGGAGAAGCACCACGGGACGATATGCTAGCAGGTAGAGTCAATGCATTGCTTTGTCGTGTAGCACTATTGTAGTATTGTAGTATTGTAGTATTGTAGTATTGTAGTATTGTAGTATTGTAGTATTGTAGTATTGCAGTATTGTAGTATTGTAGTATTGTAGTATTGTAGTATTGTAGTATTGTAGTATTGTAGTATTGCAGTATTGCAGTATTGTAGTATTGTAGTATTGTAGTATTGTAGTATTGTAGTATTGTAGTATTGCAGTATTGTAGTATTGTAGTATTGTAGTATTGTAGTATTGTAGTATTGTAGTATTGTAGTATTGTAGTATTGTAGTATTGTAGTATTGCAGTATTGTAGTATTGTAGTATTGTAGTATTGTAGTATTGTAGTATTGTAGTATTGTAGTATTGTAGTATTGTAGTATTGTAGTATTGTAGTATTGTAGTATTGTAGTATTGTAGTATTGTAGTATTGTAGTATTGTAGTATTGTAGTATTGTAGTATTGCAGTATTGCAGTATTGTAGTATTGTAGTATTGTAGTATTGTAGTATTGTAGTATTGTAGTATTGCAGTATTGTAGTATTGTAGTATTGTAGTATTGTAGTATTGTAGTATTGTAGTATTGTAGTATTGTAGTATTGTAGTATTGTAGTATTGTAGTATTGTAGTATTGTAGTATTGTAGTATTGTAGTATTGTAGTATTGTAGTATTGTAGTATTGTAGTATTGTAGTATTGCAGTATTGTAGTATTGTAGTATTGTAGTATTGTAGTATTGTAGTATTGGCCTTGAAATGAGGAAAATCTGGATTACAGTACGCCACGTCATGAACATTTTGAAGGTACCCGAAACAAAGTGATACATCACAGCAAGATCCAACTCACTAGGGAGCTTGTCAGAGTGATAGTCGGACGGCTTGTAGACGTCGCCACATAGGTATACCTGCCGCTCTAGTCGTGGCCACGATGAGAACCACAGCCACTATGAATGAGCGAGTTTTCCTCGTCAACTAGGGTTGGGCGCACACGGAGACAGAGTGTCATCCTGCTCGCCTCCACATTCTCCAGAACGCTCCATTACGATCTCTGGCAGCGCCGAGAAATCCCCACGATCATGAAAGAGGGAACACTGAAGAAGTGTTGTTCAAAAATAAAAGGCCTCTTTCTTCTTCTCCACTTGCAAACTATTTACTTGAAAGGATGCTCGAAAGTGAATAATTTTCGCGACTGCGCTCGAGTAGAATTTTGCTGACTGTGACGTTTCTGGTGATTTTCTCGATTTGTTGGCAAAACAATAAGCCACTTTTTAGCTTGGCGCGCTCATATGACGAATCATTGGGGTGCTAGAGTAACGGACTTTCTAGAGTTGTTGTTTTCAGTAAAAGTGACCCTTTTTTGCTGAACCTTAGTGGATAGGCGACAATACCCTACCGCAGTGAAATGGATATCCTAGCCTAGAGTAGTTCATCGGTGGTAGTACATGTAAAGTATAATACACTTCATTGAAAGTATATACAGCATGTAACCAACACAGATGGCAAACACTCGATTACAGTTTGAAGGTGCCAGGCAAACCAGAGTCAGGACCACTCTGCCTTTCGGATGCATTTGGATCCACGTTGTGTTTAACCCATACTTGCCCTACCCACAAGATACCCAACTTGACTATGATCAGAGTGGATCCAATTTCGCCCAGAAGTTGGTATTTTCAAAAGATTTCTGATGCCATTACTATTAAAGGGGAAGTTAAGGCAAAAATTAAAATTTCACCAGTTGTAGTCTTCGGGGTGCTGAGTCGAATCATCTTGGTCCGAGCTGAGACGCTCCCTTCCTACTTGAATCCCAATCGAACTCGCGCACTTCCACTGAAACTGGGTGACTGCGCCCTACTAGATGGGGATTTGTACGCACAATGTCAATAAAAGCGCCGTTCCGTTCTTATAAAAGCACGGATGACCGCAATTGGCCCATATGTTGTAGTCTTTTGGACGCTGAGTCGACTGGTTTTGGTCCGAAAAGGCTGCGATGCAGCGTTCCTCCTTTATTCCCAATCGAACATGGTTGAACAAGTGGTCACGTGCTCCTGGGTGCCCAAATCACCTGGTCACCACGCCAGCAGGCGACAACTTTCACACCAAGGTTCAACTCGAGTTCAACTCGAGTGACAGGATTGCACCCAAAAAAGGTCAAACAGGCTAGTAAGTTGTACCCTGCACTCAGGCTGCAGGCACAGTGACCAGGTGACTGGTGTACGCAGGAGCACGTGACCGCTTGTTCAACCATGTTCGATTGGGAATAAAGGAGGAACGCTGCATCGCAGCCTTTTCGGACCAAAACCAGTCGACTCAGCGTCCAAAAGACTACAACATATGGGCCAATCGCGGTCATCCGTGCTTTTATAAGAACGAAATGGCGCTTTTAGTGACATTTTGCATACAAATCCCCATCTAGTAGGGCGCAGTCACCCAGTTTCGGTGGAAGTGTGCGAGTTCGATTGGAATTCAAGTAGGAAGGGAGCGTCTCAGCTGTCTCGGACCACGACCATTCGACTCAGCACCCCGAAGACTACAACTGGTGAAATTTTAATTTTAGCCTTAACTTCCCCTTTAAGCTCTTCATGCCATTAGTTGCCCCAGTTCTATGGTAACATACCCAACAACTATAGGAATTATCTTCATACATAAACCAAACTCCTCGTAGCAGACACGCACACATATACACATTATACGGGAACACACAACGACACTCACCAAACAGGAGTGGGGGAGATCTAAGCCGGTGCGTCTGAGGGTGGCTGTCATGGCCTGGGATTTGGTCGGTTCAAACATCACTTTCCATGTACGACCCCACTCGTGCAGTCGGTCAACGGACACCTGCAGTGATTGCGCGGCGGCTGTTGGGGTCTGCTGTGAGGTGACTAAGCTGTACAAAGTTGTGTCATCAGCATAGGCCTCCAAGCTGGCGCCGTCAGCGAGAACATCTGGCGCGTCGTTGACGTAGGCCAGGAAAAGCGTTGGTCCAAGGATGCTTCCCTGGGGGACTCCAGCGGAGGTCGTATACCTAGATGATGTCCGCCCTCCAACGAGGCACTGTAGGGAACGCGTGTCCAGGTACGAGGCCAGCCATCTCTGAAGCGGACCATCGATGCCTAGGCTACGCACCTTGTGGAGGAGGCCGACATGTGAGACACGATCAAACGCTCCTGTGATGTCCACAGCAAGGATACGAGCCGCCCCTCCACAGCCCACAGCGCTTGCCCAGGCAGTTTGGAGAGCTTGCAAAGCGTCTGATGTCCCGAGGCCTCTGCGAAATCCAAACTGGTGCGACGTGAGCAGATGGTGGTCCTCAAAATAGTTTACTATGCTTCTGTTTACAAGAGTTTCCATTACTTTCGAGATTATGCACAGTAAGGATACGGGCCTGTAGTTCTTAACCCTTTGCATGCTGAGCCCCTTTTCTCCAATCCACTGGCCGTCCAGCGCACTGACTCTCTTGGTGGAGTATGCACTCACAGCTCCGAACGAAATTTATTCTGATTTTACTCAACCTTGATGGATTTTCATCGTCCTGGGCTCGTTGGAAAGATCAGGACCAAGCGAATCCATCCTGGCAGCTCTCAGCTCCATAGACACATCAGGGCCACATCCAGGTCCTCTCCGAATTACTCCACCGTGCCTCGGAACGGCACAACAACTCAATTTCACATTCTTGTTCGGCTTCTTGCCCAAATTCAACAGATTTTCACAATTCAAACTGCGCTGCGAAGCTCAGATCCAAGCGCTTCATTTGATGTCCATCACGCATGCGCTGTCCCAAAAGGGAAATCCCCTGGCGCGCTCTGCAACAAAAAGAAGTTATGAACAAAAAAATTCGCGTTCACTCTGGAGTCTGGGCCGTGATTTCCGTGTTCATCTTGTCGCCGCTCAATGAATTCTTATCCTATCGCGAAGAACTTTATACCCCCGGAAAGATGAGGTGAAGATCTTTCCAACGGTGTATTGATTGTCGCGATGCGTTTATGTTTGACGAAGTTACGAAAGTTTGTACACTGGTCTATGCACTGCGATACAGCGCGCGTTCACTCTGGGCCGTGATTTCCGTGTTCATCTTGTCGCCGCTCAATGAATTCTTATCCTATCGCGAAGAACTTTATACCCCCGGAAAGATGAGGTGAAGATCTTTCCAACGGTGTATTGATTGTCGCGATGCGTTTATGTTTGACGAAGTTACGAAAGTTTGTACACTGGTCTATGCACTGCGATACAGCGCGCGTTCACTCTGGGCCGTGATTTCCGTGTTCATCTTGTCGCCGCTCAATGAATTCTTATCCTATCGCGAAGAACTTTATATCCCCGGAAAGATGAGGTGAAGATCTTTCCAACGGTGTATTGAATGTCGCGATGCGTTTATGTTTGACGAAGTTACGAAAGTTTGTACACTGGTCTATGCACTGCGATACAGCGCGCGAACTTTTTGCGAGTTAACTCGTACGTAGTGGATCAGGTCATGCATAAAGTGCGAGTTAACTCGTACTCAGCACGCAAAGGGTTAAGGGTTGAGCGGGAAGATCGCTTGTGGATCGGGACCACGTTGGCCGTCTTCCACAGTATACTTAGATAGTAATGGGAAGGGTCTGAAAAGGTATAGCCCCTGCAGTAACCAAAAGCATACTGTCAGGTGCTCTCAATTTGTCGATTTTGGGGTAAATTTACATGTTACTGCCATCAATAAAATTGGACCTGCTTCATGAATTTACTTTAAATTTGGTAAGGATGTTCCTTTGATTGATGAAAAAGTGCCTGGCATTTATTGTCAAGTTTCATGTTTCTGTTACCACCAGAACATTCCTTTGGGGTCGATCATAGAAACTACTCTTGTCAAAACTGCTGCCAAAAAAGAAGAGTTTTCCCCGGGAGGCTTGAACCTACGAGGGCAAAAAGTCGAAATATTTATACTCCAAACCTGGGCACAAGGATGCTTAAAGGACTATTTTTCGTTTTAGGTACGAGCCACCTTAAGAACCAACTGCCACAGCGATCAAACTGGCATTACCCTCGCTGTTGTTGCACTGCAAGCTCTGCAGTGCACCAGTGCCTGGCACTATCCTGGAGGCGCAAGAAAGTCCTCTCACACAAAGAGCAGTTGACAGCAGCAGCTGCACCACTAAACATGCTGTGCGAAGAAGATGCATCACACTCTGCCCAGGTGTATACTGCCCTCCACTCGGCACGAGACTCACGCACGCACATGCGCGCACACACACACACATACACATACACACACATACAAACACATACCTACACATACACACACACAATCTGCGGACACACACATACACACATACACACACACATATAGAAAGACATACAACACATATTAGCAAAATACCTGTTATCTCTCGAAAGTCAATTATGGTCAAAGAGGAGATGTCAATGATTTGAAGTATATCCAGGCCTCGCAGCAGTCCAGGATAGTGTACTGCAAGGTAGAGTAGATGACCCAGTGTCTTCATTGGTAGCAGCAGTACCACCTGGATGGATTCCCAGGCGCCTGTGTAGATGACCTGAATTTTATCCTTGGAGAAGGTAAGGTCCTCCAGGTCCTCAATCACTTCCCTTCGGATCCTATGTTGAGTGTAGTCGTCAGGCTCTCCGTTGATGATGATTTGGACCAATGTCCTTATATCTCCTCCTGCAGGACACATGTAGATTCACGTACATGACCGCACACACACACACACACACACACACACACACACACACACACACACACACACACACACACACACACACACACAAACACACACACACACACACACACACACACAAACAGACGCATGCTCACATACACACACACAAACAGACACATGCTCACATACACACACAAACAGACACATGCTCACACATACACACACACACACACACAAACAGACACATGCTCACATACACACACAAACAGACACATGCTCACACATACACACACACACACACACAAACAGACACATGCTCACATACACACACAAACAGACACATGCTCACATACAAACATCACACACATATAAACATGTATTGTGAGTAATGTAGGTCTGCACACGCACATGCCCACCCAGACACCTAAGCCAGCAGCAATTCTGGTTGGCACATGGGTGGCGCTGACCTCATCGTGAAGGTGGCTACATTTATATGTGGTCTGCACCGCTCTTAGTAACTTCTGAGTCTGGGTACTGATTGCATGGATACAACAACTTCTTGCAATGCTTGAATTTGTGTTTTCCGGTCGACTTGACTTGATGTACATTGTGATTTCAAATCGCCATCATGCAGTTTTCCCTCTCTGCAGATGCCTGACTGATGTACAAGATGATTATGTGTATCTACTATCACCAGCCATGCATCGATGAGTGCACATACAGTAGCCGCACATAAAGGGGAAGTTAGCCCTTTAAGAGCCGCCCCATACTTGAATGCGTCGTAAACGACGCATTCAAATGCAAAACTTCAAAAGATCGTAACTCAGTGCAATCTCGCTCAAATCCAGTGATCGAAATATCCAGGACGAAGAGAAAACTCTCAACTGTCGGGAGAAACAATCCGCGAAGCGCTGCAAGCAACGGTTCCTGAGATAAATCACTCGTAAGTTGAGCCGCGATCGCGGCCATTTCAAAAGCGCGCAGTGCGACTTTAGTATTGAGAATTTTGAGACTGTTCGTCACGCTGGTTTACTCGAATTTGCACGGGTTTCACTGTTGATATTGCCAAGGGTACACAGCGAAAAAATTGGAACTCCACGATCGAGTAAAATGAAATATCTGGAGCGGGACGCAATTGCATGCATTTGGGGCATATTTTGTACTGTCGCTGCGATCTAGCGCTGGATAGACGGCGTGCTGGCTATCATGATCGACCTCATTCTCTTCCTCTCGCGGAGACCTTTCCAGGAAGCCCTAGATTGTGAGGATTGAGTGAGTAGAACTGAAGCTATGATCCAAGGAACACGAAAAAATGCAGAATTTTGAAATGTTCCTGTGGCTCTTAAAGGGTTAAGACAAAAATCAAAAATTCACCAATTGTAGTCTTCGGGGTGCTGAGTCGAATGGTCTTGGTCCGAGAAAGCTGAGACGCTCCCTTCCTACTTGAATCCCAATCGAACTCGCGCACTTCCCCCGAAACTGGGTGACTTAGCCCTACTAGATGGGGATTTGTATGCAAAATGTCACTAAAAGCGCCATTTCGTTCTTATAAAAGCACGGATGACCGCGATTGGCCCATATGTTGTAGTCTTTTGGACGCCGAGTCGACTGGTTGTGGTCCGAAAAGGCTGCGATGCAGCGTACCTTCTTTATTCCCAATCGAACGTGGTTGAACAAGCGGTCACGTGCTCCTGCGTACACCAGTCACCTGGTCACCGTGCCTGCAGCCTGAGTGCAGGGTACAACTTACTAGCCTGTTTGACCTTTTTTGGGTGCAGTCCTGTCACTCGAGTTGAACTCGAGTTGAACCTTGGTGTGAAAGTTGTCGCTTGCTGGCGTGGTGACCAGGTGATTTGGGAACCCAGGAGCACGTGACCCCTTGTTCAACCATGTTCGATTGGGAATAGAGGAGGAACGCTGCATCGCAGCCTTTTCGGACCAAAACCAGTCGACTTCGCGTCCAAAAGACTACAACATATGGGCCAATCGCGGTCATCCGTGCTTTTATAAGAACGAAATGGCGCTCTTAGTAACATTTTGCATACAAATCCCCATCTAGTAGCGCACAGTCACCCAGTTTCGGTGGAAGTGCGCGAGTTCGATTGGGATTCGAGGAGGAAGGGAGCGTCTCAGCTTTCTCGGACCAAGACCATTCGACTCAGCACCCCGAAGACTACAACTGGTGAAATTTTGGTTTTTGCCTCAACTTCCCCTTTAAACGTACCCGGCTCTGGCCAGGTTGCAAGAGTTGTGTCAGGTACACATGCACATGGTTGGTTTGAAATCCTGGAGCAGAATCTATAGTATTGGTCTACCAGTCTGTTTCTGGGTACAGGAGTAGAATTTTGTCCTTCTTAACTGTTCACTTTCAATAAACATGAAAGATGTAGAGAACGGGATATTTCAAACCTTTTCTTTCCACTCGCGCGAGTGCAGGATCAGTTATTCTGCTCTTCGACTTGATTCTGACATTATCCTTATTGAGGTGCTGCTTGGATAAACTGTCAAAGATAATTCCATCACAGTCATCCACAGATGTCCTCAGTTTGCTGTCCAAAAAGACCGTGACTCGAGCATTGCGCAGATCATCTTCCGTCCATTCTGGCCATTCACATTGTTGAGGAATTGATATGGAAGAAATCACAACAAACATTCACAGTCAATACATTGCAAACCTGAGTAGCGACCGTACAACCGTGGGTGGACCAGATCCTAATCCATGCCACCTGGATCCGGATTCTAACAATCGAACAGGTCCAAAGACTGCGAATCCGGATCCCAGGCCCACGGATTTGCACAATCCAACATGTCCTAAATGCCCACTTAAGGCATGCCCTACATACCTTACCTTCGGTGTCTGAGCTAGCAGCTGAGCCGGACAACCCTGAGTCACCTTCAGACATTTCGGGGCTGTCCAGGAGGGACTGAGACTTGTGCAGCAGAGAGGCCTGGGAATCTGAAACATGCAGCAGGGCAAATTAGAGCAGTCACATTGGAACAGTCACTTGTGCACAAAGTTTAAAATCTTCTCTACTGATGTTCTGTGAATTCAGGTCACCAGTTATGGTTACTAAAGGTAGAGAGAATGTATATGAGTAAAGTCACACACAGAAATACTTCCTCTGTGCAGAGAGTGCTTGATACCCTCATATCTCTCTCTCTCTCTATCTCTCTATCTCTCCATCTCTTTCTCTCCATCTCTTTCTCTCTCTCTCTCCCTCCCTCTCCCTCTCCCTCTCCCTCTCCCTCTCCCTCTCTCTCTCTCTCTCTCTCTCTCTCTCTCTCTCTCTCTCTCTCTCTCTCTCTCTCTCTCTCTCTCTCTCTCTCTCTCTCTCATCCGGACCTCCAAATTACAGGCACATTGCTCTGCCAGGCACCCTGTGGGTGAAGTTTAGTGGAAATATTACTAATCTTTTGGCAACGTTTAGTTGAAATAGTGATCATTCTGACCCTTCCCCATCAAAATGTATGTGATTCAGAGTTACGAATATTTCAAAGTTATCCGTAGTGCATGGTCCGGTCCCAGACTGCCTGGATAAGAGAGGTATGAGTGTACATAGAAATGACACAGCTGGCATTAATGCAAATTCAGCTGCAACCATAAAACAGCCTCATGCTAATATGATCCAAATACAAAGTAATAACTCGATTTAAAATATTTAAAAACACGGCGAGGAGACAAAAATTTGATAACCGCAATCAATAAAACTAGCTGAACCGACATTTGTGTACTTTATTCATGCAATGTAAAAAACGGTGGAGACGATGTGCAATAAAACGATGAAAATATGAAGAAATGGTCCGGTCCCACTGCCTCCTCCTGATCCTCCGCCATCGGTTCTTGCGGCGGTGGAGCTTGCCAGTGGCAGACCACGAGCAACACTGACAGCTGCATTAACACTACAAATGCCGTCTCAAAAAGACCCACCTTGCATATCAGTAACTCCCACACCAACACCAACAACGCAATCTACAGCAACCACAACTAATCCACCATCCAAGCCCATAATTGAAAGACCAAGACGATCAACAGCCAACTACAACAGAAGCTACGCACTCAGCGGACGAGGGCGAAAGGAGGGACGTGATAGCAGGGTGACGGCCGAGTTGAGTTCAATGGACCCGGTCAGGCGGGATGGACGAGACAGAGAGAGTACAGAGGAAGCGGAGGATGGAACGGATGGCGGAGGGAGCAGTGAGTCGGAGAGCAGTGATGGGAGTGATGGTGAGAGTGCCGGTGAGAGTGTTAGTGTTGTGCGTAGGTTTCGTGGTAGCAAGTCTTCAGTGTACAATCATCTGCTGGCTAGTCCTGATTGTTGCAATTCGTATTCCGACTCTTCGTTCACTGTATTGTGCCGTGGTCGTCATGGTTATGGACTACAGTTAAAAGTGTTGGAAGCTATCTATCAGCGTCTGTACAAGCCTAATTTGTGTGTACAGAAAGATAGTATAATTGGGTTGAAATTGTTCAAGTAACGTGTCGTGTTTAGTGCGGCCAAGCTTGGCCGTTAATGTTCTAGGTGTAATGTACTGCTGTTATGTGTTATCACGTTGTCTTTCCTTCCTTTCTCCTTTGTTCATTTCTCGCTTTGATTGTTAAAATTCACACTTGTAAATTTCACTGTTGTTGCTCTTAGTGTTATTTCTTTAACTTAGATTTTCTATAATAGTTCAATTTTTGTTTCAGTGTCCTTTGAGCCTAGTTCACATTCGACGGGGCGCGACGGGACGCGACGTAAGGATCGACGGGAAGCGACGGGACGATCTGACAGCGTCCAATGTGAACACCAGGAACGGGAACGCAACCGTACTACCGTACAGATCGGGAAGCGACGGGAAGAGTTGGATCGATCCAACTTTTCATACCGTAGACGGGCGTAGACGGGGACGCAAGCGTACAAAACGGCTGCAATTCGAGTGTGAACAGGAGACGGCATCGTGCGCCGACTGCTCCCGATTCGTACTTGGAAATTTTTAGCATTTCGAACACTGCGCTTCCCATGATAACTCACAGAATGGCTAGCACGACTTGAGTTGAATTTTAGCAACATAAGATCTCATGTCACTTATTGTATTTAGGGATAGTTCAGAAGCGTGACAGACGAACTATTCTATCATTTCCTGGGGCTATTATTTGAATGCCACAACTTTCAGGGCTAATTTTTTGGTTTTCACGAAAAACTGGAACTTGATTCCGCTTCTTTCAAGGAGAAATAATTGAAAAGAAGTCCCGAAAAACGAGAAATTAGGTCCAAAAGTCACCCCGTCACGGACCGTGCCTTATGACTCGCGCCGTTCGACGGTGAACGTCGCAACGACTGCTGCATGTCGTGTCGTACGAATCGTACAGGATTTTACAGCTCACCCCAGCCCTCCCGACAAGCCCTTACGTCCCGTACCGTCGGTGTTGCGTCGAATGTGAACTAGGCTTTAGTACAACGACGATTCCTGATGAGTGTTGTACGAAAACTTGTTTGAATCCATATTTTTTCCCTACACCATTTCTTCATATTTTCATCGTTTTATTGCACATCGTCTCCACCGTTTTTTACATTGCATGAATAAAGTACACAAATGTCGGTTCAGCTAGTTTTATTGATTGCGGTTAATAACTCGATGCAAAATGATGTTTCATGCAGAAACCGTTTCATAGTCAATGACTTCCACTAGCACATGCACATTATAGATAACAGGTATACAAGCTTCCAAGGACATACCGCTTACCTGGACTGGTATGAGCCATACTTGGAGCAGACACATAGTCAATATGCCTGGACATTTCCTCGGTGAATGCTCTACCAACATTGCTTAGTAGGGCCCTCTTGGCTTGCGGCTCGAGAGGCAGTGAAGAAGCATGTCTTACAACTGCAGCTGCTGCCATCTGTGCCGTGTTTTCAAGATGGACTGACGCTGGTGGCTGTGTACTCTGCTGCAAAGCAGTTCCTCTCCTAGCAGCATTACCAACAGCAGCACACCTGCCAGTGCTAGTGTTATCTGATCTGGCAATGGGATGTGTTGTAGTGGCTTGGGTGGGTGCACTCATACAGGTCTGGCTAAGACCAAATGTAGTCTCTGCCGTAGTAGAAGGACCTGACATTGATGATGGTGATCTACCAGTGGAGGAGCAAGCTAAGGCTGCACCGGGCTGCAGAGCAAGAGGTGGTTGTGCACCTGCCACAAGTACACAAGCACACAGACATGTCCGCATCCACAAACCGATTATGTGATTTCAGGTTGCTATAATTATTTGTATAAGCTTGAAAACACTCATACATCAAATTCCATTGATTTTATTCAAGAATGTTTCCATGGTGAATGGCTGGTGTCATGACACCTCAGTACATACTGATGTTTTCAAGTCTATTTCACATTCACCATAAAGCTAACGAGACAGGACGTAGAAAATGTACGGGTGGCTGGGGTGACCTGTAGACAGTCTTGTCATTCGTACAGTATGACATGCAGCAGCTATTGCAATAGCCAACATAACTCATTGTGAGGCATAAAGCTGTGGCCCATGATCAGTTGACTCAATGCCTTTTAAATTCTTGTTTTTCATTATTCAAATGGTAACCATAGGAATTGATTTATCATGTCGTCTGACACACTCCTGGACTATCACTAATCAGACATAAATAATACACAGTGTACGGTAATACGGTTTCATTCCTGTTCCTAGCGTTGATTGCCGATGGAGTCCTTTGCGACCATGACCATCCCTGCAACTTCCCGTAGCTTCTTACGTTGCTTCCTGTTGCGTCCCCTTCGAATGTCAACTATAACGCAAGCAAAACTCACCGGGATGATGGCAATGATGAAGTGCTGGTACAGCTGGTACTGTGGCTGTTGCTCCTGGTTCTGACTCTGCTCTTGCTCCATGCGCACGTTCTGACATTGTCGTTCCGATTGGAAACCTTGCCTGGAGTGACGCTTGAGGGGTTAATACAGTTGCTGATGACGCCACTGCTACTGCTCCTGCCATTGCCCCTGCTGCTGCTGTTGCTGCTGTGGTTGCTGCTGCTGCTCCTGCCATTGCCCCTGCTGCTGGTGCTGCCATTGATGCTGCTGTTACTCCAGCTACTTCTCCTCCTTCTGCTCCTGGTCTTGCTGCTGCAGTTCTGCTTTTCATCGGTGGACACAGTGGTGCTAATTGCTGTCCAAGTGGCGATGGACTCGTTGCCCCTGCAGTGGATTGATACGCTGCATATCCTGCTGACGCAACCGCTGCTGTTGTGCAGTCTTCAGTTGGCATGGTTACAGGTGGGTCTGCTCTGGCTGCTATGGCGTTGGCTGACTCTGGTTGCTTAGCAGCAACACACGAGGACAATGCTGGGGTCACATGACATAGGGAAAACAGAGATAGAAACAAGAAAAACACAAAGGGCAGTAGGAAGAAAATCAGATTACAAGGAAAGCACTATGGGACCCAGGACACTGTACAAGATACGATTCCAGTGAGTGGGTGTTGGTAGTAAATAAGGGGGTGGAAGGCAGGAAAAAGTAGCTATGCAAGTCAACCAATCAAGGGCAATAACAGTCTTTGTCCATAATCGGTAGGTGAGATCAGAGATGTAATAACCAGAGCTCTATTTGCACAATGAACAATTTTGTTATGAAAATCAGGGAGAGGATGTGTGCAGAATCATTTTTCTTCGTGAGAGTTCCTCTCACCTTGTTGAACACGGTATTGTGGTAAGAGCTGAATCATCTGATGATATCGGTCGGTGTAGCCCATTTCCAGAATGACACTACACAGACCCTGATAGGTGTCCATTTCACCAGGAGCAAGGATTGAAACGACTTTTTCATTGTGGGCCGCACCTCCCTGTTGTGCTTGTATAAGTTTAAGATCATCAATGCGGTCGCGGTCTTTGATCAAACCCCGGCGCTGGACAAGCTTCCGGAATTGATCAGGATCAAGACGTTGAATCCATAGCTGGATATCGCAGACAAACTCTTCAGAATCAAATGGGTTTTCTGAAGAAAGAGAAATTGATCACAAACAAGACACTCATGTGTGTTGTGAGGAACCGTAAATTTCTAGTAATGTTGCTGCGGATCAGGGTTCATGCCGGTACCAGGTGGAGCTCCTGGAATTCTGGCCTGGATTTTCAGCATTTAAGTGGGGTTCTATGGTGGTGGCGGTGGTGCTGCTAGCCTGGTCTACTCCACACGGCTGTTTGAAGTAGCTTTTTCTGGCCAATGAATGGTACCCGCTCAGAAGAATGAAAGAAGAGCGAGGAGAATGAGAAAGAGAAGAAAGGCGTGTGCGAGCATAATCGTCGATAATTGCACCCGCAACCTCTCAATAGGAAATCGACTGCACCTACCACTGCACCATATGGCCCACATACGGGTTGGTATGGTTGAGCAGAGAAGAATAGTGTACACACAACCAACCTGATCAGCGTACTAACTCTGCAGTCAAGTGTTACAGGAACAACTTGGGTAGTAAAAGAACCGAGTACTCCAAATAAGCATAATCTGACTATCCTGCCTCTTGGGTCAGGTGCAATTCCACTCAATTTCCAGCCAAGACTCGGACACTTAGTGATGTGATTTATGTTCATAACTAGTAAGGAATGCAAGATCTTTACGAGTCTTGACTTATAGACAAACCGACAAAGCACTCACCATCCATCGTGCGAAAATGCTCTCATAACAACCGTGTAGCAAAGAGCTAAACAGAGACATATAGAATGATGGATTGATAGAAAGATGGAAATTAGCACAGAAAAGGAGAAGAAACCCCAGAGATTGTGAGTTGGAGGGAGGTAGAAAGAGATATGACGACCAAGAACAGGATACATGTCAACATCAGTACTTCCCCCCCCCCTCCCCTCCCCCCCCTCCCCCCCCCCCCCCCCCCCACATACACACACACACACACACAAACACACACACACACACACACACGCACATACACACACACACACGCACACACGCACACACACATACACACACGTACACCCATATACTGTGGTGGACATGGAAATTCGATCGGAGGTCAGGCGGCCCCAGGGCGCTGGCCATGCAGTCGTGAGTACGTACAGTGAAACCTGTCTGAGGCGACCCCTCAAGGGACAAGAAAAAGTGGTCGCCGTGGCCAGGTGGTCTCTTTATCCAGGTTCAGTGGGTCACGTGACCATATCCACATGTGACACATCATTTTGATCAGTGTATCACAGTGCACACACCTATGCTACTCTAGCACGACTCATGGGCCTGGGGTACTCAGACCTGTCAAGTGTCGTGCATGCACCATGTACATCTACACTTCCTGCACTGATGTGTAGATCTACCATGCATGGTGCACCATGCAATGCGTACATTTACATGACTAGCACTGTGCAACGCGGTCGCGGGTGGGTGGTCGTCGGTTACGTTGAGCGAGTGGTCGCCTTATCCGAGGTGTGTTGAACGTGAATGCGTCTGTGACAAGGAAAAAAGTGGTCGCCATGGTCGAGTGGTCGCCATATCCGAGTGGTCGTCATGGTCGAGTGGTCGCCATATCCGAGTGGTCGCCATGGTCGAGTGGTCGCCATATCCAAGTGGTCGCCATTACAGGTTTTAGTGCATATGGTACACACACGCAGCGTTCAGTACACACGGAGTGTGTAGACCCTGATCATCTGACCAGATTTCCATGTCCACGACAGTACCTCATTGAGTCATAGTGTGCAGGTAGGGAACAAGAGGAGCTGCAACACACGATCATAAGGGTGTTGACCCCAGGAGGCCTGTTGCAGTCTCCCTTGGGGCATGGCAGATTTTTACACCCTCGCGTATTACATCGCTTGTCTTGGTCGCGCTCGGGATCAGAAGGTCAAGGCCCTGATATGAAGTTGCATAGACCATGGATTATGTAGAACTTCAAAACACGTTCCAAACACATTTCCCTTCTCAAACACTGATTTGTTTGAGGTATGTCAAACAGTAGGCCTTCCCTATTTGGACACTCCGATCTACCGGGCACTCCTGTCAACATAGCACTCTTACGGGTCTACAAACACAATACATTAATTTGTTCCCGTAGCTATGCAAAAGACGTTACTTCAGTAACGTCTGGCGCTAGCCAGGGTCCACACAGCTTTAATTGTGTTTGTTTGTTTCTTTGTGCCTGACGAGGTCGGCATGCCTGGCGCTATCCCGTACATGTCCCGTACCATGGAAGACAGCTGCCCGGCATGCCTGGCGCTATCCCGTACATGTCCCGTACCATCGAAGACAGCTGCCCGGCATGCCTGGCGCTATCCCGTACATGTCCCGTACCATCGAAGACAGCTGCCCGGCATGCCTGGCGCTAACCCCTACATGTCCCGTACTGTACCATTAAAGACGCATCCCCTATGTGTTATGTAACGTAATGTAAATTGTTCCGTTTCATTGTTTGTTTGTGCCTGACGACATCGGCATGCAGTGCGCTATCCCGTACATGTCCCGTACCGTACCATCAAAGACAGCTGGCCACCTTATTCAAATAGGGCTTTCAAATGCAAGATCATAACGTGAAGCAACTTGGAAGAAGGTGTATGTATGCAAAGTTTATCAGGCGAATGCATTTAGTGCGATAGTGCGGGCTCGAATCCCATGTTGTCTTGAAAAATTGGAGAAATGAAAAAAGTATAAAATCGCTATACTTTTTTTGCCTCGGTCATCAAGGTTGTAGACGGTGTCGTATTATCGCATTACCGCTCGAATGGTTTTGGGTGTGCTGCTAATGGGCCGGGCATGTCTTAGAGCAGAAAGTGTCGACAGGAGTGGCTACACAGAGAGTAGGAGATGCCGCCCCGAGAGTCGCCGTGCCTGCGAAAGGCTACGCCGACAACAAGAAACAATGGAGCAAGTATCCCGTCGTTTGGAGACCCGCCGGTTTCGTGAAAAG